ATTTTAAAATTTTAAAAGTAATGAATAGTTACAAAATAATGAAAATATTATAGCAACAATAAAATCTGCAGCACCCATGGAACATGAAGTAGGGAATGTCAAACTATACCACAAAATTTAGAGGGCACTAAAGAAAATATCAATAAAGAATATATAGAATTACTTTGCATACTGAGTCACCACAGGAAAATATAAATGGCAAGCTGGAAAAAATAATTGTAACTCATATGAAAGAAAAAGGGCTAATTTTTCCTTGTATAAAAAATTCTTGGTGTCTGGGGTTTGGCTCAGCATAAAGTGCTCGCCTTCATGTGTGAGGCACTTGGTTCAATCCTCAGCACCACATAAAAGTACATAAAGAAAATAAAGATACTGCATTCATGTACAATTAAAAAATATTTTTTTAAAAAATTATTTATTATTGCTGTATATATATATTTGACTGCATGACCAATGTGATTCTGCAACCTGTACACTCAGAAAAATGAAAAATTATACCCCATCTGATTCAAATGTATGATATGTCAAGATCATTGTACTGTCATGTGTAACTAAAACAAATAAAAAAGAAAAAAAAGAAAAAAATTTCTTGCAAAATAATAAATAAACACCCCACACACTAATAAGAAAAATACCATTTTGAACAGAAGATATCAATGTATAATCCCTAGAAAATACAAATGGCTCTTTTTAAAAATTTTTTAAATATTTCTTTTTTATTTGTTCTAATTAGTTATACATAGCAGTAGAAGCAAATGTCTCTTAAACATAGTGGAGGATGTGAAATAAAACTCATGATAAGAGAAATGCAAACTAAAATTTCACTGAGCTATATTTTATCTACCAAAATTTCCAACACCAAAAGGTTTGAGAGTATGAAACCAGGCATTCTCACTCATTTTGGTGAGAGTACAGATTGATAGAGACCTCATGGAAGGTAATTTGTGATTTACAAAAAATTTTTAAAGTCTCATATCTTTTCATCAGGTCATTTACTTAAAAATTAAAATATTTGTACATATGTCAGGGATGTATAAACAATAAATGAAACATAAGCCTGTTTTGTTTACAATATCAAAATATGAGTAACACTCACAGTGGCCATCAATATTGTGTGGTGTAATTATGGTCTATTCAAACAATGGAATCGTGCTGCTGTTAAAAACAAACAAACAAACAAATAAATAAATAAATAACACAAAACTGATATGGAAGGACTTCCAAGATATATTAAATTTTTAAAATATAAATAATATATGTTAGTATGAAAGCAAAGTATCTACCTTTCGTCTATCTTGAGTCTACTACCTAGAAGACCCTCACCCTTGATCTTCCTGCTGTATGCCCTTCCTTCCTCTGTTCTTCCAGAATCATTAGTTCGTCCCTTGGCTGGTAGATCCAAGTCTTACTTGTCCCTTGTCCTTAAATTCCTTAGGAAAAAAGGCACAAGAGATAAGCAAACATCTCTTTTGCAAATAGTTAGTATTGATGACTTCTTAGAGCATAATATCTATGTGCAACTTTGGCAGGTGAGAATGGAAAGCCACAGATGGGAAAAGTGGAGAGAGACCCTGGTTCTCCTACAATTTATTCTGCAAGTACAACTATTTTCTGTGATGATAGAAAACTATAAAAAGAGAGAGAAAAATGGCAATTAGGAAACATTTCCAGAAAACTAAAACCTTGGGTAACCCAATTTGGAAATCTACTGTGAATAAACAAATTCTGTTACCTAATATGCTGATCTTTTATTTACTGAGAAGGGTTGAGCAAGAGGGTTTTTGCCAAGGCAGGTTGTTGGAACCCCTCTTCCCATTAATACTGAAGTCAGGAGAGACACCAGGAGCTGCTTCATCGCAAGAAGGTCCTAGAAGCCCTGCTTCCCCTGGAATTTTAGCTGGAGAAAAGGCCACAGGTGACTCTGTCTTCCAGGGAGAAATATTGTCTTGTTTTATTTTTGAGATCCATTTCTCATACAGTTAGTACATTCTAATTGGGAAGAAATCGTGTGTTCTATTTCTTCATGGGGTCAGTGCTGAGCAGAGTAGGCACTCAAGAAACGCTTGTTGGGGCTTGGGGATGTGGCTCAAGTGGTAGCGCGCTCGCCTGGCATGCGTGTGGCCCGGGTTCGATCCTCAGCACCACATACAAAGATGTTGTGTCCGCCGATAATTAAAAGATAAATATTAAAAAATTAAAAAAAAAAAAAAGAAACGCTTGTTGATTGATTTTAGCCTATTTTATTGGGTGCAAATGGGCCACAAACCAATAACACTTTGGATCGCTCTCTTTTCCCCCTAATGATCTGGCGGGTTTATGCTTCTTCCCCAACCTGTTTCAAAATTTTTTTAATATTTATTTTTTAATTGTAGTTGAACACAATACTATTTATTTATTTATTTATTTTTATGTGGTGCTAAGGATCCAACCCAGGGCCTCGCACTCGCTAGGTGAGCTCTGCTGCTGAGCCACAACCCCAGCCCCATTTTAATTTTTTTATACAGTAACAATTCTAAGATAAACAAATGGAAATGCAGAACTAGGCTATCTTTGAAATTCCAAACCTCAGAAACTAGATCTAATTCTGCTGCTCTTCCTTTCCTTTCAGCACAATGAAGCTGTGCACAGGAATTGTTTTCTGCTCCTTAGTCCTGGGAGTCAGCAATGAAAGCTGGTATTCATTCTTCAAGGAGGCTATCCAAGGTAAAAACCTGGAGGATGGGGAGCACATCCAGTGGTCCCCAGGACTCATCTGAGCAGAGGCCACATAACTGCAAGATGTGGGTTCTCCTGAGAAGCCACAGATGGGGCAGAGCAGGAGTGTGGTTTTCTGTATCTGTTTCTGCTTCCACATTTGGACCCAACCTGTGCTACTGGTGTTTTGTGCAGAGGGATCTGGAATTCCAGTGGGGAGCTCTCACTGTGGGAATTCACAGATGGAAAATTTCTTAGTCCTAGAGTGTGGTTGTGAATTCATATGCCCCTGGAGGCTAGAGGTGGCTGAGCTGAATAAATATTATGCTTTATCCCAGGGAGGGAGAGTGCCCGGGACAGAGGAGAACAGCAGCACTTGCACAGAGAAATCCCACCCTGTCCCAGACATATGGCCGATGACTGGGATGCAAAGCTCACGGAGATTAACTTCTAACTTGTAGCTGTGTATTAAAAAGAGAAAGCTCTCACTGATTAGCCACTCTGAGCTGAGATAGGGTGAGGAAACTGACACCGGTCTTTCCTGATGGAAAAGAAGCTTGTCGGCCAATTGTTAAAATGAAAAAAATATGTTGTTAGATTTTGTAATACTTTGAACTTGAAGTGTGTTGTAATTAATTTTGCAACTGAATTTTTATAGATTCTTAAGTGAATGTGTATGAATTCCAATTTTTCTAAATTTTAAACTTCATGTGGTTTTGTTGTTGATTGTGGTGCTGCGGATGTAATCCAGGTCTCCAAGCACACTAGGCAAGTGCTCTATACTTGCTATCTCCCAAGCCCTCATGTGCTATTTTTAAAATGAAAAAAAGTCTCTGAATAACAGCTTTTAAAAAGAATTTTGTTGGTAATTGATAATTTTTTCTATGTATAATGAAGAATATCTTCTTCTTTAGGTCAATGTATTTCAGAATTTGTTGTGTGATCCTCCAGCATTTATATCTGCTAGGTGTGTTTGTTTTAAAAGTACATCTCTTGGGCTGAGGATGTGGCTCAAGTGGTAGCACGCCTGGCATGCGTGAGGCACTGGGTTCAATCCTCAACACCACATAAAAATAAAATAAAGATATTGTGTGCACCTAAAACTAAAAAATAAATATTAAAAAAAAGTACATCTCTCAGAGGGAGAGAGGAGGGAAGGGAAAGGGAAAATACGGGGGACTGAATTAGAACAACTTATACCAAGTTTTCATAATTATGTCAAAATGAATCCTAACGTTATATATATTTTTAAAAAAATCAATTAAAAAAAGAGAAGTGGGTAAACCAGGCTGATGAGTCAGACACAATGATATAAGCTTCCTTATATCATTAGGCCTAGTCATTTGAGATAATACATCTCAGGCACTTAGTAGAGCAGTGCTAAGTTGGTAAACACATATATACATGCAAACATATTTAAAAATTAAAAATGTTAGGCTAAAGTCTAGTAATTTGCATTAATATGGAAGTTACTGCTTCCCAGAAAATATATAATATGTAAATATATCATAGAAATATAATTGTAACCAGCAAAGTAACTGTTCAATGTATTTTGAATAAACAATGACAAATGAGTCTGGCATTGTCTTTACTGGTTTCAAATTATATTTTTATGTTATATTTATATATTATATATTTTCTGGGAATGAGAAGAGCAAGACAAACTATGGTTTTCCAAGGTTTTTTTTTCCCTCTCCCAACCTGCCTTTCCACCTGCCAACTTCCAACTTCCTTTTCAAGGTCTTTTTGTGTGTATGGTTCTGGGGATCAAATCCAGGGAATTGTACATGATAAGCAAGTCCCCTACAACTGGGCTACACCCTTAACGCTGTTATGATTTTTTTTTTCATCACAATTAGTTTTGCCTTTTCTGGAAATTCAAATAAATAGAATTATATAGTTAAAAGAAGTACATGTGCTAGTCAGAATCTTAGAAGTTAAATGGACTAGGGATCACATTTTAAACTATAAATTCCTCTGGTTAATACAAATGAGAAAGATGGTCTAAGGTTTTGCTATCACACCCAGTGACAGAATCTGTCAGATGCTTGAAGATGATGCTTGGTAAGCAATTTGAACAACATGAATGATTACTAAGTAGATATCTGAGAAAGAAGTCACTATACCATGTCAGAGATAAATTACTTGGCTGAATTATAGACACAAAGTAAGTAATACATGCAAATAGTGAGAAAGTACATAAAGAATAATTAAAACTATCCATCTCCACTTTTCTTTTGTCCAAGTGAGATGGTATAAATAAGCTGGCTTACTTTAGACCCAAGCCGTGGCAGGAATAAAAAACATTCATTGAGTGGACAACTCAGACACAAGTAAACGATTCCTGCGGTTCTTCTTCCCATAGACCTGTTCTGAGCAGCTGCTTTTCCCAGTATTCTTAAAAAAAAAAAAAAAAAAAAAAAAAAACACTTTAAAAATGAGATATAACTTACATAGAGTAAACTGTACAGTTTGACAAACTTTTACACATATAATAAACACCCATGTTTCTACCATTGGATCAAGAGGTGGAACATGCTAAGCACTCTATTAATTAAAGTTAATTAACTTTCCCAAGGGTAGCACCTATTCTTATTTCTATTATTAAAGATTAGTCTTGTCTGCTTCTGATCTTTGAATATAAGGAGCCTTGTAGAATGTATATTTTATGTCTTTCTTTCACTCAACATTCTGACCATAAAATTCATTCAAGTTGTCTTTTAATCCACCAGAAAGGTAAGTATGATTCTCCCAATTAAAAGGTGAGTTAAGGTGGAGTGTAGTTGGCAGAGCAGAGAGCTGAACATTTACATTTATGCTCTTCAGGTAAACCTCACTTCCCATGTCCTTTGGAGCTCTCCAAAGACAATTCTACCTCCTCACTTATTAAATGCCTATTTCAACAGCTTTTCTGTGCAATTTACACCCATATCAGCCAAATTTACTTAAATCAGAATTGCCTTCATACAACTTTTTTCTTCAGGCCATGATCGATGTGCAACACTCTTCTCGCTGCATCCCCCATGCAGTCCCTGGATCCTACAGATGTAGTGTCATTCTCCATTTTTTTTTTTTCTCCCTTACATGACAGTCCCACCTCTTCTTTGTACACAGCATATGCAGAACCATATAAGACATAGCCTAGGGCAACAGAACTGCTAATCAATCCAATCCAATTTAATTCACTGAGAAGTAGCATTTCTAGTGTTGCATATCTTTGTCTCGATGTATAATTTCAAAGGATTACTTTGTCAAGAGCAAAAATTTGGAAATCAGTAGAAATTTTTCATTCCTCCACTTCATCAATACATCACTAGGTTCATATTCGTCATTTTTGTTCCTTTCCAGGGACTGCGGACTTGTGGAGAGCCTATTGGGACATGAGAGAAGCCAATCACCAAAATTCAGAGAGATACTTCCATGCCCGGGGGAACTATGATGCTGCTCAAAGGGGACCTGGGGGTATCTGGGCTGCTAAAGTGATAAGGTAAAGTGGAAATGCCACTGAGCAGCAGGCAGAGCTGGTCGCCCTCCAATCCCTTCTGCCTGTGGCGTGTCCTCTTTCCGTCTAGGCTTCCAGGGCCTGGATGGCCTGCAGAGTTGGTCAGTGTTGTCGCCTCTCACCTCTATAGAAAAAGCAAAAACTAGAGAGGGCATCTCAAAAGTGCCCTGTGTCAGGGTACAGAAAGAATCAGCTGATTCAATGCCTTTTCCCAAGAGCGTTGATATTTTAGTTTTTCTGTCCTTGAGGACTGACTTCTCTAGGCTTCTCTTGGTCATTCCTTGAGCATCAGGGGAGGAGGGAGTTAGGAGGCAGAACTATCTCAGGTGTCAGATTAATTTCCTCTTTCCCCCTTCTTTGGATTTTAGCACTGCTGGCAAGTATTTTCGGGGGCTCCTAAATCAGTATTATTATGGAGGCGGCCACCGTGGATGGGAGAACATTCAAGCCAACCGGAAGGCTGAAGAGTGGGGCCGAAGTGGCAAAGATCCCAAACACTTCAGACCTTCCGACCTGCCTGAGAAGTTCTGAGCTTGCCGCTCCTGCTGCTGTCAGGAAACTAGGCTAGGGGCCACACACCTCTCCTGAATGCTGGGCTTCGTGTCCCAGGGACTGGTACAGGGCATCCAGAGTTGTCCAATAGATGTTTTCAAATTTAATTTCTTGATGGAAACTAGAAACTTTGAGATCGACTTTTTGAGAAAAACAGTCATTTTGTGTCACAATGAAGGTAAACAGCCCCATAAAGGAGGCGCCTGTGACTGTGGGGTTGCAAGGACCCCCAACTGGCCCGTGACAATAAAGGTCCCTCACATTATCCCCACCAAAGCCTCTCTCATTCTTAGTGGTCCCAGATTCTCATGCTGAGTAAGTCTGAGCTGACAAAGTACTGACCATCATGCTGGGTCCTTCATGACGTCATCATGGCTGGCACAAGTTTCACAGGCAGCCTCCCATCAATCTCTGCATAAACCCAATCATAATTATATCAACCTCTATCCTCCCCCTATTTCTGGTTTCAACCCAGGCCTCTCTCAATACAGACTCTACTCTGCTCAATCAGTTGCGTCCTGTTCACTGTCTGGCTCCAGGTCTTGTCCCCCATGACCTCCTTCCATATTGAGGGGGTACATTGCTTCAAGAAGCCTAATCCCAGGAGCCCTATCCTAGAAATCATCATCTTGGACCCCATCTTATTTCTTAACAATATCAGTACCTACCCCAACTAAATTTTAAATAGTCTCTGCTTGTTTTACCTAATGAATAGCTCTCACATTAGTTTTTCTTGTCTTTATTCTCACTGTCTTTTAACTTGGATAAAATTCTACTTCCTGTTCTAGAGGGGAAGTGAGATATGCAGATAGACACAACATTACTAAATATGAAAGGCTGTGTAAAGTTTGTACCTCTTTGTTAAGGCAGAAAATCCCAGTTAATTTACTAATAAAGCCAAGATTTTCTTTCCAAAGAAGGTCAGTATAGTTTCAAGGAACAGTAAAGGATTAATAAAAAGGAAGATTCCAAAGATAAAAAGAGACAGGCTGGGTGCAGTGGCACACATCAGTAATCCCTGTGGCTAGGGAGGCTGAGGCAGGAGGATCTCCAGTTTAAAGCCAGCCTCAGCAAAAGTGAGGCGCTAAGCAACTCAGTGAGCCCCTGACTCTAAATAAAATACAAAATAGGGCTGGGGATGTGGCTCAGTGGTCTAATGCTCCTGAGTTCAATCTCTAGTACACCCTCCCCCACAAAAAAAAAAGATAAGAAGAGATAGAATAACTGCTGCACCAAAGTCAAGCAGAAGCCTGAGGAGGTAGATCAATCCCATAGGTGATGGGTTAATTGACAAATGAGTAGAAACATCTCTTGTTTGAGAAAAGAAGGAAGGTGAAGAGAATGAGACCAGGGGAGACAGAACATTTAAAATGGACAGCAAGAGACTGGGGTTGTGGCTCAGCAGTAGAGCACTCGCCTCTCACGTGTGAGACCCTGGGTTCGATCCTCAGAACCACATAAAAATAAATAAACAAAATAAAGATATTTTTAAAAAAGGGCTGGATTGTAGCTCAGTGGTAGAGCACCCTTGAGTTCAATTCCCAGTATGAAAAAAAGGGGGGGGGGATTCCACCTCTTGAGTCCTCTTCTTCCTCCGGGGAGAAGTCTTTTCTACTGTCCTTTATTTATTTATTCTTTTTAAAGAGAAAGAGAGAGAGAGAGAGAGAGAGAGAGAGAGAGAGAGAGAGAGAGAGTTTTTCAATATTTATTTTTTAGTTTTCGGCGGACACAACATCTTTGTTTGTGGTGCTGAGGATCGAACCTGGGCCGCACGCATGCCAGGTGAGCGCGCTACCGCTTGAGCCACATCCCCAGCCCTCTACTGTCCTTTAATAAAGCTTCTACTTTCCACTCTAAGAAAACAAAACCAAACAAAAAAAAAAATGGACAGCAGACCTGAGGGAGTCATGGTGACTCCTAGAGCTCAGCATGTTTCACTGCATTTGCCCACATGCTCATCATTGCTGGGGGCAAGCATGTAAGAAAACAAAGGGCAAAAATCATGGCTATCTGACTGCATGTCATTTTTAAAAAAACATTTATTTATGTATTTTTTTTTTAGTTTTAGGTGGACACATTATTATTTTTTTTAATGTGGTGCTAAGGATCGAACCCAGTGCCTCATGCATGCTAGGTGAGCATTCTAGCACTGAGCCACAACTCCAGCCCCTGCATGTCAATTTTGCATTCATGTACCTATTCTAGCCCCTGGCATAGTGTAGATGCTCAATAAATATGTGATGAAATGAGTGAATGAAAAATTATCCTTCAGAAATTAACAGATCTAGGAGGAGGATTTAGGAATTGTAGAAAGTATGGATGTTTTACACAAGTGTTAGCCTGTGGAATGTGCTAATGAGTCACTTCAATATGATTATGCAAATCTATACTAAAATACCAGCAAAAATGACATAATTGTACTCTATCGCAGATAATATTTGATTTTATCTGGCAATGCTTTGCACACTGTCTCATAGAAACAAGAATTATGACTCCTATATCTAAATAAGCCATCAGTCATAATGGTATCTGATGGAAAGCATTGGGAGAAAGGAATAAATATTTTGAACTTCCAAAGTACTGTGCTCACAGAACACACTGTGAGCCACACTGAATTTCTCTAAGACACCATAGACTTAAGGATGCATTATAATTTTTAACTGCCAAGAGAAACATGCTGCCAATTACACTAAGACATAATGCTTTCTTATCACCCAGAGATTTATTTTACACTTAATGAAAGTGTTTAGACTCACTTAGACATAGATTTTGGTCTTATATCACTTTGTGTATATACAGAAAGGAAAGCATAAAAAAATAAGTATTCCTAAAGCAATGAAGTGCTTAATGAATGCTAACTTGTTTTTAGAGAATCTTTCTCAAATTTATTGATTATAAATTTCTCAAATCTAATATAATTTGAGAAATTTATAATCAATAAATGTGTGTCTTAGAAGTGATTAAGTATGATATTTAAATTTAAACCTAGATAGGTTCTCTCTTATTGTATTTACTGAGAAGGAATAATAAACTTTTAGTCATTAATTGCCGCAGTCTGGCTGGGCACAAATGCCGCAGTCTGGCTGGGCATACAATCACGAGCCACCACACAGCTTGTAGATTCAAACAGCAACTCTTTATTCCCGAACTCACACCAGCCGTCTACAATCACGTTCTGGGGAAATCCACGTTCTCTGCCCAAATCCACCTCCACTGGGCTTCTATCTCCCAAAGAATACTGTCTGAATCCCGTGAGAACTCAAGGGGAACTCAGGCAGCAGGATACGCCCTATTCCCAGCAGGAATAATCTTAAACCTTAAACCTGGAACCTAAACTGGGAACGCCCTAAACCCGATTATCTTAAACCGGGAACACCCTAATCCGCCCTGGTCCTTGAGCAAGGTCACCTACATTCAATGTCACTGCAAAATGTCAGCAACATGGGGGTACGCTGGCAAGGAAATTGTCATACCCACTTGGCTAATGGCTCCCAGCATCTCCCCCCTTCTGATTAATTAAACAACAAGCAATGTGGCTTAAGGACCGTGCCTGGTAGGTTGTCCAATTCAACATA